ATGCAAATAACTAGAAGTGATTTATTGTTGGAACTAAAATTAACTTTTCAAATGTAATTTCTAAAATTTGGTGTTACATAAATCTAGAAAATTGACTCTTAGCTACTCATCTTTAGTTAATGTAGAATACTTTATTTTCTATTGGAATTTATTTTTGCTATTTTCGCTGAAAGAATGTTTCAGTGAAATAAAATCTAGCGAATATAACTTTTTCCTATATAGTTCATATTCAACTTGTTTAAAAATCAGTGTAAATAAATTTCAAGCAAAACACCCAAAAAACCTTTACAGCGAAAATTAATTCCAGCTAAAATAAAGTATTCCACACTATTTCACAAGTTTACCCGTGTTAATAGAGAAAATAAAAGAGAATACTAGAGTACAAAAACACATCAGCCATCAAAAATTTCTTGCCTATTTTACTATGCACATATGTACAAGTGAAGAAACTCTCTGACCAATAAGATTAGATCTTACACACTCTTCAGAGTTTACAGTCTAAACTACAGGTATGAACCCCATATGTAAGATCTAATCTTATTGGTCAGAGAGTTTCTTCACTTTTGCACTTGTGCATAGTAAAATAGGGAAGAAGTTATAAGATGTGTAGACGTGCCGGAAAACTCATTATGTGTGACACAGAGTCACTCTTTCTGGGAAACCTGTTCTGTGAACTTGTACAAATGTAAACAATTGAGAAAAACCGTAATTATCAATTTAAATCTATGTCATCTGTATTGGTCAAAGCCAGAGGGTCATCACCTTTGCACGCACATGAATTGAGTCCCAAGCGACGATAACAACACACGCTAAAAACGCAAAGGCTCATGGTTAGACGCTTGTTTGTAAACACTAGACAGCTATGGCCTTCTGACGCATGCACAGGTGACGACTCCCCCACTTTAACTATTGTCCTTAAATGTGCATTGAGTGATGTCATAGCTCTGGTCATAAGTGTCATGGTGATATATGCATTATTAAATTAACCAGCTGACTGCAGGTGTTCCGTATATTCCAATGAATGATAAACGTGTTTTCCAATTGTCTTAATTCTGTATAAAATATAGTCATGTTATAGCTGTGTTTGTCCTTTGCAATACTGCACATTTGTGTCGTACCGGGTATCTTAAACTATTCAACCTCTTGCTTTGTGGAGGGTCATACGAGGACAGTGAGGATATCTGGTGCTTTGTGAGGGGGAACATAATGAGTGGCCATTGAGAATATCTGGTGCTTTGTGAGGGGTAAGATAGTGAGTGGCCAGTGAGAATATCTGGTGCTTTTTGAGGGGGAACATAATGAGTGGCCAGTGAGGATATCTGGTGCTTTGTGAGGGGTAAGATAGTGAGTGGCCAGTGAGAATGACTGGTTCTTTGTGAGGGGGAACATAATGAGTGGCCATTGAGGATATCTGGTGCTTTGTGAGGGGGAACAATGAGAGGCCAGTGAGGATATCTGGTGCTTTGTGAGGGGGAACATAATGAGTGGCCATTGAGGATATCTGGTGCTTTGTGAGGGGTAAGATAGTGAGTGGCCAGTGAGAATATCTGGTGCTTTTTGAGGGGGAACATAATGAGTGGCCATTGAGGATATCTGGTGCTTTGTGAGGGGGAACATAGTGAGTGGCCATTGAGGATATCTGGTGCTTTGTGAGGGGGAACATAATGAGTGGCCAGTGAGGATATCTGGTGCTTTGTGAGGGGGAACATAATGAGTGGCCATTGAGGATATCTGGTGCTTTGTGAGGGGTAAGATAGTGAGTGGCCAGTGAGAATATCTGGTGCTTTTTGAGGGGGAACATAATGAGTGGCCAGTGAGGATATCTGGTGCTTAGTGAGGGGGAACAAAGTGAGTGGCCAGTGAGAATATCTTGTGCTTTGTGAGGGGAAACATAGTGAGCTGCCAGTGAGGATATCTGGTGCTTTTTGAGGGGGAACATTATGGGTGGCCAATGAGGATATCTGGTGCTTTGTGAGGGGGAACATAATGAGTGGCCAGTGAGGATATCTGGTGCTTTGTGAGGGGGTACATAATGAGTGGCCAGTGAAGATATCTGGTGCTTTGTGAGTAGGAACATAATGAGTGGCCAGTGAGGATATCTGATGGTTTGTGAGGGGAAACATAGTGAGTGGGCAGTGAGGATATCTGGTGCTTTGTGAGGGGGAACATAGTGAGTGGCCAGTGAGGATATCTGATGGTTTGTGAGGGGGACATAATGAGTGGCCAGTGAGGATATTTGGTGCTTTGTGAAGGGGGAACATAGTGAGTGTTCAGTGAGAATATCATGTGCTTTGTGAGGGGGAACATAATGAGTGGCCAGTGAGGATATCTGGTGCTTTGTGAGGGGAACATAATGAGTGGCCAGTGAGGATATCTGGTGCTTTGTGAAGATATCTGGTGCTTTGTGAGTAGGAACATAGTGAGTGGCCAGTGAGGATATCTGGTGTTTTGTGAGGGGGAACATAATGAGTGGCCAGTGAAGATATCTGGTGCTTTGTGAGTAGGAACATAATGAGTGGCCAGTGAGGATATCTGATGGTTTGTGAGGGAAAACATAGTGAGTGGCCAGTGAGGATATCTGGTGTTTTGTGAGGGGGAACATAATGAGTGGCCAGTGAAGATACAAATGTATCTGGTGCTTTGTGAGTAGGAACATAATGAGTGGCCAGTGAGGATATCTGATGGTTTGTGAGGGGAAACATAGTGAGTGGCCAGTGAGGATATCTGGTGCTTTTTGAGGGGGAACATAGTGAGTGGGCAGTGAGGATATCTGGTGCTTTGTGAGGGGGAACATAGTGAGTGGCCAGTGAGGATATCTGGTGCTTTGTGGGGGGGAACATAGTGAGTGGACTTTGTTACTTTATATACACTGTACAGGTGACAGTGACCTCAGTCAGATTTGTTCCTTTACCAATGATATCTCCAGTTCTATAATTAAATTGTGCATTGCTAACAGCGGGCCGTATTCAATGCCTCAAAAAGATTTATGTTCAAAATTTAAATGCATGCATTTGAGGTTGATTTTGATTACCATTTCTTAACTCCATTTCCATTTCTTATTGTATATACCCAGTAATACTCCACTGGTACCTGAATTGCAGAAAATATGTGTGAGGTGCAGGTTTTTGACTAGAAGCAACATTTCTTTTTGTCTGATCTTTATTCAATTTCTGGACTAAACACAGACTGTGTTTTGAGTGATTTCCTGAATAACAAAGGAAAGCAAGCAGCATGACATGCTGTATGGTGAATAATTTCTACGTCAGTTACCATTACTCAAAGGGGTTATCCCTATCTGTACACTGTGAATAACCTTGCTATTGGCAATCACATAGAAACAGGCACAGCACCAAGTAGCTTGAACCTGTGACATTTCAAATGTTCTTTTAATCTCAATTTAATACTGGAATAAAAAGAAGAAGAGATCAGTTTCTTTTGAAGCATGAATTTTGAATGTCATATTCTATGGAAAGTCAGACTTAATACTGTAACAGTATAACATTATCTTTTTATAGCCCAGAAACATTCAAGTTTTTAGTACCTTACCAGATGT